CTGAGTGGTTAATAAACATTAGGAGATACGTAATGGTTATTAAATAGTGTAAGATGATTTGCTGTAAAGTGAATTTCTACGAGAAGAAGGTGTAAGCACAATCAAAGTAAGATTCAATTTTCGTTTGTTAGCTGTCTTTATTAACCATTAGGTACATTATAGTATTTATTAACCATTAACTATCTGCTTGTCTTTATTAACCATTAACTATCTGCTAGTCTTTATTAACCATTAACTATCTGCTAGTCTTTATTAACCATTAACTATCTGCTAGTCATTATTGACCATTAACTATCTGCTAGTCTTTATTAACCATTAAGTACCTTCAAGTCTTTATTAACCATTAGGTACCTTCTAGTTTTTATTAACCATTAACTATCTGCTAGTCTTTATTAACTATTATGTACCTTCAGGTCTTTATTAACCATTAGCATACGTTAATCATATATATCAGTTATGCAACTTCTAGACGATATCTTTTTTTAGGACAGCTAGTATAATGATTGAAAAATAAATAAAGTTCAAGTGTGTATATTCCCTTACTGATATACTTGTAAGCCTTTTAAGCCACCTTATCCTTCAGTGATAGCTACTATAAATCCTGGTTTCGATTTTATGTTCAGGCATGGTCTTTACTCCACACCAACCATCTACTCTTATTGCATGTTATTCAGATAAATTGCCTAAATGTGACACTCAGATTGTATTAAAGTAGACTTTTCCCATCACCGTTTTCCACAAGTTTCAAGTTCTGGTATGTCCATCGAAAAGTCTCCAGGCTTTACACTGAAAGTGTATGTGCATTCTAAGCCTAACGCTATCACCAAATATAATGTGGCCATTCCAAATATCGATCTGCACTGTCATTCTCGTAAGAATGGTTTTTGCCCTGTCTCACTCTCTTTGAGAGTAAATTTCCTGTAAAACACCAGTTCAGTCTCCAAGAAAACCTATCCATTATTTCTGTAGTGGTAGAACAACCAACACAGGAACACTCAAGGCAGAAAACAGAAATATTGCCATAGAAAGTCAGGCTGAATGGCACTGATAAGGCAGCAATCTAAGAAACAAAATACATGAAAACAACAACAACAGGAAATATCTGTAAGGCATCGCATCTGCGAAAAAAAAAAATCGTGAATTGATTTATTTTGTTTAACCAGTTAAAATGTATTGTCTCATAATAAAAATGACACTTTATTATTATTATTATTATTTCTATGTTTACATGACACAAGTTAATTTTTTCTGTTCCCTTGAAACAAGTTCGTACTTCCGTGCTCAACCGATTCATTACTCACGCGAAACGTCGTTATTTAATAATTTCGCGATCGTATTTATTTCTTCAACAAAGTAAATATATCTAATTCTGGAAATAATTTTTTCTATATAAAAAAACAAAAAAACTTTCATGTTTCTGATAATTATTTTTCATCATTCTTAACTTCGTTTGTAGTTAAGCATACTATACAAAGGGCTCTCTGTGCCCTGCCCACCACGGGTATCGAAACCCGGTTTCTAGAGTTGTACGTCCGTCTTGTCACTGGGAGGATAATTTTAATTTAATGCATTACTTGCATACTAATTATGTTGGTCACTTGTAATTAATTTACTTTTCTTGAGCGTTTCTCGGCGACAAATATTAAATATAATATACTGTATAGATACGTCAACTTTTACCAGAGACTAATAAGTACGTTTTGAAAAACAACAAAAATGCAAAGCGATAAATTGGATTGTTGTCGTTTGTAATTAAACACAAAGCTACACAATGGGCTATCTGTGCTCTGCCCATCTAAGCACAAATCTACACAATGGGCTATCTGTGCTCTGCCCATCACGGGTATCGAAACCCGGTTTCTAGCGTTGTAAGTCCACAGACATACCGCTGTGCCACTGGGAGCATTAATAATAAAAACGCAAGATCTAACAATTTTTAGTGTTTTTTAAGAACAAGATCTAACAATTTTAGTGTTCTTTAAGGATAACACGTCCAAAATGTTCGAATAATTTAAATTCATTAACGTCTAATAAACAAATTAATATCCAACGACAAGGTTGGAAAAGAAATATAAAAATGGTTTGTTTGTTTTGAATTTCGCGCAAAGTTACACGAGGGCTATCTGCGCTAGCCATCCCTAATTTAGCAGTGTAAGACTAGAGGGAAGGCAGCTAGTCATCACCTCTCACCGCCAACTTTTACTCTTTTACCAACGAGTAGTGGGATTGACCGTCGTGTTACCGCCCCCACGGCTGAAAAGGCGAGCATGTTCGGTGTGACTGGGATTCGAACCCACGATTCTCAGATTGCGAGTCCAGCGCGCTAACCACCTGGCCTATGGAAAATAGAAAACATTGATCCAAATTAATATATTTGAAAAACGAACTTTGAAGAATCATTTTAAATATAAAGAAGAAGCGAGTAAAAATTGACACGCGTGTTAATTTATGCAATCCACGTACGATTTTACTTCCATGTTACAAAATCTGCTGTTCTGAAGGTTCTCCCTCTTTATAATTTTAATATAAATAGTTTTTAATATGATTTAATGTCGTTATTAATTTAAAGCATTACTAAGAGTTTCCTGTTGCTGATTGGAAAAAAAATCGTCTGATGATTCTAAAAATAGAAAAATGATAATTTGGTGAGGTAAATAAAATATTTTGTGCAAAGCCTTAGGGTATTTTAAATGTAATCTTCAGAATATAATGAAAGAAAAATGTGTTCCCCTAACGTCAAAAATGATTATTAAATGTTTACCTTACACACACGCACGCGCGCGCGTGGTTTTAGCACGCAAACCTCAGAAAGTCGTATGTGCTTTGCCGAGTGCGTCTAATTATCGACTTTCTTATTTATCCGTCATTAGTAATATATATATATTTCTGCAAAACATATTGGATTTTCTACACGTGTTCCTATGGAAATTATAATAATCATGTTTTTTTTTGTGCAAGACTTTTAAACAACTGTGCTTTTCGATGAAGAAAAAAGCCTTACAAGAAAAGCATGTTTTAACGAATATATTATTAAATAAAACGTCCATAAAGAAATACCAGGAGAATGTAAATCAAACGAAACACTCAGATAAAGACATTTGTATGTAAAAAAAAATATTTAAATATATTCAGTGATGCAATTTACTTGTTATTAGTTATTTGTAAAATCTTGGATAATTTTGCCGTATTTTAGGGGCGTAGTATACAGAAAGATAATTTATTTTTAATTTAAAACTAATCAATCATACAGTTTACGTCATTAATCACGTGTTATCTCACTAACATAGAATGAAATAATTTAGTTTGATACTAAGATCTTGTCAGAAATTTTCATTAATTATAATACGGCCTTTCACTTTTTTCCTTGTAATATTTCGAGTCCTGAGACTACCAGTTAGTCTATAGGCATATTTTGAGGTTGTAATTTATTTAAATAAATCAAATCAGCTGGCCGACTGCTCTGATAAAAATTAAACAAAATTATTTTAATTTTCCTTGCGTCTTGATCATAGAATTCGACTGAAAATCGTGTACAGTGATTGAATTTCATTTTAGGTTTTCATTAAAACTGAAGAGACATTATGAGATTCTTTATAAGAAAAACATTGATGAAAAATATACACAATTTAGACAATTAATTTTGAGATTTACTATGTAAATATGTGCTTTATTTTCAAACCTTTTTTTCTTCTTTTAAAAACACGTAAGCGTAAGTATTCGGTTATTTTGAGTATTTTGATAATATTGTCTCTTACCTTAGGGCCCGGCAGGGCCAAGTGGTTAGGGTGCTCAACTCACAACCTGTAGGTCGCGGGTTCGAATCTCCGTCTCACCAAACATGCTCGCTCTTTCAGATGTGAAGGGCGTTATAATGTGACGGTCAATCCCACTATTCGTTGGTAAAAGAGTAGCCCAAGAGTTGGCGGTGGGTGATGATGACTAGAGCTGCCTTCCCTCTAGTCTTACACTACTAAATTAGGGACGGCTAGCGCAGATAGCCCTCGTGCAGTTTTGCGCGAAATTCAAAACAAACAAACTGTTAGGAAGGAAAATGTAATTTTATACTCAAACTTAACTATTCTTAGCAGAACCTTTGTAGTGTTTTGATGCTTCTGCAATACACACATCTGGATGGAAGTGGAACGAAAACTCCTGACGATACTAAAATAATGCAAAACGAAAACTGTTTTCTTTTGTATTGGTATAAAATGGTGCAAAACGAGAATTATAGTCGTGCTATGATACAAAAGATAAGCATTAACGTTTTTGACATAACTGCAAATTATAAATGAGTTATTGATGAGTGAATTATTTCCATGCGTTTTTTAACATTTTGTTTGAATTCTCGTAATAGGGATCCAAATATTTTAATAATCTTCGTATTGACAAAGCCACATTACACGAAGATTTATTTGCACTCGAAAGAAACATTCTTCTTAAAGAATTGTGAATATTTTTTCTCTGGTGTCACCCAGTGTAGTAATAAACCAATGCTACTAATTTACAATGTACAGTGATCTTAAGATCATAGCAAGAACAAGCTATCTTTTATCAAATTTAGTAATGCTGAGGTTTATACAATGCTTAAAGGCTATACTTTGTTTGTTTGTTTTTGAATTTCGCGCAAAGCTACACGAGGGCTATCTGCGCTAGCCGTCCCTAATTTAGCAGTGTAAGACTAGAGGGAAGGCAACTAGTCATCACCACCCACCGCCAACTCTTGGGCTACTCTTTTACCAACGAATAATGGGATTGACCGTCACAATATAACGCCCCCTCGGCTGAAAGAACGAGCATGTTTGGTGTGAAGGGGATTCGAACCAGCGACCCTCAGATTGTGAGTCGAGCGCCCTAACCACCTGGCCATGCCGGACTCCTTTCTAACAGAATTTGGATAATGATCGAAAACAAAAAGTTATTATGGCAATGAGGAAAATGTACCTGTAATTTAATATAGTTGAAAAATACTTTTAACAAGATTGTTATTATTTTTTTCTTAGATTCTTCCGAAAACATGAAAAGGTCTCCAAGTTCAACAATTTTCAGCCTACCATATTTGAGTTTTTCGAAGAATTTTACCATTACCGCTGGAGAGACTGCTGCTCTGGACTGTCCACTTGAAAATGTTCAAAGAAACGAAATTTCTTGGGAAAAAGGTAACTACAAAAGAATATATAATTAGCACGTGCTTGACAATATATAAACTCTGAGAGAAGAATGATCGAACAGTGAAAAACTTTACATTCTTCAACTGGTGTGCTATTAGATACGAAACATTTCCTCAACCACATTTCAATCTCTATGTCAAAATATCGAGATGACTTTGAAGGATCGCAGATATTGGGGGGCACGTAATGCTGCAATTCATTGTCGATATAACATGCCTTTAATGGCTTACAACATCGTAACGTTTGTTAAGAAAACTCAGTTTGTCGTGTGATTAATTAGATATAGAAATACGTCTATTATAACACTTCTGAAGCATTTAATTATATCATTAAACTCCAAATGTTTATCTAGCTCCAGGATTTCATTTGCTATATAGATAATCTCTATTTAAATACCTACGAGTGTAACATGTTTTAACTGATTGATTTTAGGATGAGCCTATAATAAACATTCCGTTGATTATTAGGCGCTATTTTTGATAAATAAGCGGGAAGTTTCTAATCATTTCTCACTGGGCCATTTATGCCGAATTAAAACCACCGAAAATTAAACATACGCAGTTACTGTGGTTTCTACGAAGGTAAGTTAAACGTTACTAGCGTGAATAATCTATGTTCCGTTAGTGGGGTTTCAAGCTCCACCTCCTCATGATTCACCGATCAAACTTTTCTATATTATTTACAGTTACTTCTAAAACTACCCCAAGGGGGTCTGTACCTGCAAAGCAAACCTCGTTCGGACACCGGCCTGTGGAGTCTGCGCACGTGTGTCGCGTTTGGTTAATATAAACCCAATTTCAAACGTGTCCCCCCCCCCCCAGGATCCCGAAAGAAAGTGGCAGAAGCACCAAATCCGATGCCATGTTCGGGTTCAGCGTCCTTGCAAACCTACTGTTAGACCCTCTTCTATCCAGAGTGATCTTCTGGGCGCGTTTTAATCCCCTTGCGAAGGAGGCTACACCCTCCGAGCTACCCCGAGTCCGTTCTACTAGCTCAAAAACACTTAGAGGAATTTGTGTACAAACAAATAAGAATTAATACAGGATGTTTGTTTGTAGTTAAGCACAAAACCATACAACAGGTATCGAACTACGATTTCTAGCGTTAAAAGTCCGCAGACTTACCGTTATTGTGAGAAGTGTTTAATGTAATAATAATTCGGGAGTTTAATAAAACAATTATTGATGGTTGGAATATTTCTTCTGTTTAAATCACACATTCATCTATTTTGAGTGGAATACTTAGTTTGGATTGCGAAACGTGTTTCTTGAGGAAATAAACACAAATATCCATGCATTTATAACGAAACGTTTTGACTAGTAAGCTAACTCACAAACGAACGGTTTGAATATGTTGACATTAGTTCGAAACAAGCAAAATATTTTATAAATTATAGAAATCCAGTTTATATAACGAAAAACTTGAACTGAGTTTCAGGTGGCCGTCGCCTTCCCGACAACCAACGTCAAAGGATTTATCCCAACGGCAGTTTGATTATTTCCAATGTGAACCGCAACAATGACGAAGGTCACTTTGAATGTTTTGGTTCAACGCCAGGTGGCCAGGTGTCAAGGATGATGATAATGTTAAGTGTAAGAGGTGAGTACGTTCTCCAGTCAACATTACCTGACAACCGTGTTACAATGTTATTGGAAAAAATACTTAACTGAAAACAAAATGTTAATTATCACAAACCAGGATTTTCTCAACTTCACTTAACATTTGTAGATTGAAAATGATGCAGAATAAAGCTCAGCAGTCACTTTTGGCTACGTTGTTTTTTTTTATACCGATCACTACCGGTAGGGGTCCACTTATCCCACCATATTTAGTATTAATATTTTTTTTCCTGTTACAACACTCAGTGTAGAAAAAAAAAAAACTCACCAAAAAAACTGTTTATAATCATTCCCACATAATACATTCCAGTAGTTTTGAAAACCTATAATATCAACATGCTCGCCCTCTCAGCTGTGAGAGCGTTATAATGTGATGGCGAATCCCACTTTTCTATGGTAAAAGAGCATTCTAAGAGTTGGTAATCTTATTACTTCTAAACTGATATGTATTTTTATCCCTAATATTAACGAACCCTAAATACATTTTATATCATCCTTAAAATTTGAATCCCCCATTTCTTTCTTTCTTGTATTTTACAGTATAACAATAATCAAAGTAATTTCAAAATTATGGTTTATTGTGCAGTGTATAACAAAATTCTTTAACTACAAGCAAAAGTGCCCGTCCCCAGTGACAGAAAATGTTTACGTTAGTCTATTATTTTAAATTATTTCATGGTCTTTAAAAAAGTTAATTAAAATTAGAAATACTAATAAAGATATTTCAAAGTTATGGTTTATTGTGCAGTGCATAACAAAATCATTCAACTACAAGCAAAGGTACCCGTCCCCAGTGACGGAAAATGTTTAAGTTAGTCAATCAGTTTGAATTATTTCATAGGCTTTAAAAAGGTTAATTAAAATTAAGAATATTAATAAAGGTATTTCAAAGTTATGGTTTATTGTGCAATTTATAACAAATTATTTAACAACAAGCAAAAGTACCCGTCCTCAGTGACGTAAAAAATTTAAGTTAATCTATCAATTTAAATTGCCCCCCAGTGGTACAGCGGTATGTCTGCGGACTTACAACGCTATAAACCGGGTTTCGATACCCCAGGTGGGCAGAGCACAGATAGTCCATTGTGTAGCTTTGTGCATAAATTCAAAACAAACAAACAATTTAAATTATTTCTCTCAGAGCCAAAGCTCTGAGCTATTTATACCGTCCACTGCCAAAAGTAATTGTGGAGCATTTCAGTCATAGTACGAGTCCGTTAAGAATAACATATGATAAATCTACGTTTTTATTTTTTAATTTACATTACATTTTGAAATGTGAATGATAGTGTGATTAATTCCTAACAAGTTAATGTCCTGCTTGCGAAATCAAATTTGGCACCAATATTATTCATGCCTGTTCTCCCGTCACTTCAAAAGTGAATGTTGAGCTTTGCCTGCATGCACAGCTTTTCAAACAGGAGACAGACGAACGACAGACACCACGATTTACAATATATATAATATTTGTAAGATAATTTTTCTAATTTCATATTTTTTATGATGTTGTAAATTATAAGTAAACAGTAAACAACATAATTACAAAATTATGTTTCCTTGTGATTTCTTGCAAGAATGTGTTAATAAATCTTACTTTTTGTGCTTCGCGTCGATAAGTCACATTTTACTGTTATAAGTCTAGTTATATGGACTTTTTAAAGTTCATATTTGCAATAGCTGTTTTGATATAATGTCGTATATTCTATAAGTACTATGAACAACATACTGTTGTTATATATTACTTCAAAATGTATATATATATATATAACCTATCCAATACCCCTAGTTCAAATCACATGGATATTAACAGTAATTTTCTGCTAACAACGTTTTTCGTGCTTTTGTAAAATGCATCATACGTGATGTCGGCTTTCCTAGCACTAACTTGTAAGAACGAAAAAACACTACTTTAACATCCACTCTTATATAACGTTATTATTAATAATATTATATTTTTTTATATATTATTGGCCTAGCATGGCCTGATGGTTATCGCAAATAGCCCTCGAATAACTTTGCGCAGAAATTCAAGAAACAAACAAACTTATGATATTATAAATATAATATTATGAGGGTAAGTACAATATATTTTCTGCGATATTGATGGGAAATTACAATAATTTATGAAAAAATTTGTGAAGAAAATTTATTTCTCACCTTTAATTTTAAACTCCTAGGGTCATTCTTACCCTAATCACCCTCTAACCCTAACTTCCATTGTGTTTCCATTTTTTTCTAAGACAATTATGTAAAACCATTGATCTTCTGTGTAAAACACATAATAGACCCAAACAGTAATAAATGGGATTAACTGAAATATTGATGGTATTTCAGTAATAAATGAGATTAAAGTAGGGACCCCCAGAACCATCAAAATCATGAATTCCTTCTAACCCTAACCTCCACTGCGCTTCCATTATATCATATTATTATAACATATGAATCATAACTCATGATGGTGATTCTTACTTTAAACATTCTATAGAACAGATTGGAGTGAAGCGCTATAGAACAGATTGGAGTGAAGTCCTATAGGACAGATTAGAGTGAAGTTCTATAAGACAGATTGGAGTGAAGTGCTATAGAACAGATTTGAGTGAAGTGCTATGGAACAGATTGGAGTGAAGTGTTATAGAACAGATTGGAGTGAAGTCCTATAGGACAGATTTGAGTGAAGTTCTATAAGACAGATTGGAGTGAAGTGCTATGGAACAGATTGGAGGGAAGTTCTATAGGAAAGATTGGAGTGAAGTGCTATAGAACAAATTGGAGTGACGTTCTGTAGTACAGATTGGAGTAAAGTTGTATAGTACAGATTGGAGTGAAGTTTTATAGTACAGATTGGAGTGAAGTTCTATAGTACAGATTGGAGGGAAGTGCTACAGAACAGATTGGAGTGAAGTGCTATAGAACAGATTAGAGTGAAGTTTTATAGTACAGATTGGAGTGAAGCTATAGTACAGATTGGAGTGAAGTTCTATAGTACAGATTGGAGGGAAGTGCTACAGAACAGATTGGAGTGAAGTCCTATAGGACAGATTGCAGTGAAGTTCTATAGGACAGATTGCAGTGAACACTAGTTTTAATGTTTCAGCGATATAGTTATATATATTTTTCGGCACAGTTGAGCAATATAATTTTATGGATACGTACTTTTTTATCACTAATATTAATGAAACCTACCATAGAGTGAAATGCGTGAAGCTTGAATAGCTAGAAAATTAGACGACATTCCAACCAAGTAATTTACAAGAAAAACTGTGATAGATTGTGAAGGCTGACACTGAAATGACATATTGGCTTAACATCCGAGCTCACCGCCCATTTTAAACCACTAGATGTAGATATATTTCATTTGAAACTTTCGGCACGTTAAACAAAAATTTCTAAGTCCTAAAACTGGCAATAAATTATCATGACGGAAAAGGAACGTTACGATCCGAATTAGATTCATGAGCGAAGTATGCGTAGATGCACGAGTTTAATTTCATCATTATATATTTATATATACATTTATATATATGTGTGTGTTTTATTGATAAGAGCAACGCACAACCTGCATACACTGTTTTTTATGTTTGCCAAATTTAAGTACGCTTTCGAGCTTCCGGAAATAGTCCATTTATTGTTGAGGGACAGCTTAAGCCTCGGCACTCATTCAGGTCGAAGTGCCTCCATTCCAACCATTTCAGCAAACCAGCCAGCCTGACCGTAAAATCTGCTGCTCATCCTGGCACAAAAAAAAATACTGAAAACATAGGGAAGTAGTCAACAGAGCGATTAATGCTTTGTTTTTTGTTTTTTTTTTACATCAAAGACCAGGATTAAACTTCAAATTTTGGATGTAACTGAAATCAGCAAATACTTGGAAAACCTAATAAATGAGGCACTTTACCGAAACATTTTTTTACAAAAACAAAATCACTTAAAAGAACAGGATGTTCATAGTAAAATCTACATAAAATTGATTGATCCGTTTAAAATAATAGCTCACAGAGAGAACCTTAAGTGTACTGTTTTATGAAATTTAATCGAACTTTTAATCTAGTTACTACAAATATACTTTCCAATACCTACCTGATGCACAATTAAAACATGTATAATGTTAGGGTCATTCAGGAACTGAATGCATATATTTATATATACGCAACTCCAGATGCTGAGTACTTTTATATTACAATGATTTTGAAGCCTCACCGTGTCATGTCGTTGCAGTCAGTCCTCTCATGCTCTATTCGACGACGCTGCATCTTGACAAAAGCCCCACAGTGTAGTTGTTTTTGCAGAAGGCGCTGACATAATTCTGTCGTGTTCAAAGCACACCACTCTTATCTGAGTGCTTTCCATAATCCATTTAATGTAAAACAGATGACTATTTCCCAGAGCTTGTTTTAACAGTCTAATTAACAGACATCTATAGGCGCTGCTTTCGTCGACTTGACCGGCATGGCTTCGTGTGGAATAGCATAAATACCCATTTCATTCTTCAGTTGCTTGACATATGCAGCGGTTGAACGGATATGTCGTGGAAACAATATGTGTATACGTGAAATGTGTTGCTTTTCTAGTCAAAGATTCTTCGTGATTATGTCACATTCTGTTACCTGGGACACGTGGACATCTTAGTGTTCGTGGATTCTCAACTGTTACAAGACGAAGCACTGGTATTTTACTTACCATGACTTGGGTTAGACTTGTTGCAAGTCTCTTTATGGATGGTTCTGGTGCCCCAAGACTGTCCATATTCCCTATTTTTCTAATTTCATGAAGTAAAACGCGTTGGAAATTCTAAATGCCCGGTCCAAACACATCTTTAAAATCTGATTGTATGAATATTTTGCGTCGGAAAGGGATGTTAAACTTTTCCCGGAAGTGATCAATTTTTCATGACATCACGTTATTTACGCAAAGTCAAACAATGTCAAAATGTATTCATCATGTGCCTTTCTGATATAAATACTCAAAATTGTTTTAATATAA